CACCTATTACTACCTTTGTTGGCCTCACCATAGAGTTCATTTTTACAGTCTGCTACATCTGGTAAGTGTTGTGAGAAAAGGTTTAGGGTTATGAGGAGCAGTAGCTGGTATGCGGAGTTAAATTTTTCTAATATTTCAGTCTCAACTTTACTCTTTGCCTTAAGTACCAATCTTTTTGGAATTCATATTTCTTATAACTTCATGGAGTCTGTTTTGCCAGCTTGTCTTCCTCTTTTCCTCAGTAGTTTGATGTTTTTACTGCTCTGTTCTGGAGTCTTAGAATAAATAAGTTTCATTTGCATTTCCCCTTGCATGTATTTAGTTCTTTCTTTCAATCATGCAAGTTACCTTGCCACTGGGACCCCCTCCCAATGAATGAATGAATGAATGAATGCCTCAGCATCTTTCCTCTTCTGTTTTTCTTCTCATTTTCTTTGTAGATTTATATCTTTTAAATGTACTTTGATTTTAGATCCATATACCTCTTTCTAATTCAAACTTGAAATGTATGATTTAGCTAAGTAAGAATTAGGTATTTTCTAAATACTTTCTTTAGTTCTTAAACTGATACTGCTTCTAGATGCTCAAAAGTCCTCTTCTGACTGATACTATAGTGTTTCTCTTATGCTCAGTATTACTTTCAGGCATTTGTGTTTACATTTGGAGCCACATATGAAGGACAAATTACTTTGATTTGTTTGACTTGGAGAGGTGCAAAGCATTTGAACTAAACAGTGTTATGTTATTAGCCCCTTAACCTGTAGGGCATGCATAAGTTTCATAGAATTGCTTCAAAATGAGTGCATCTATTTTCAGCCATTTAAATTATTCTTTAAAAAAGAAAAAAAAAAAAAAAAAGGAAAGAAAACCGGTGGCACACTCCTTTAATCCCAGCACTAGGAAGGCAGAGGCAGGCAGATCTCTGTGAGTTCAAGGGCAAGATCTACAGAGTAAGTTCCATGACAGCCAGAACTGTTACACAGAGAAACCCTGTTGTGGGCGGAAGAGGGGGTCCTTAAAAATACAACGGAAAAAAATGTATACTTTAATAATGGGATATTCATGTAAAATCTAGAGACTATCAGCTGAAGTAAGATAAATGAACTAGTTTATGTCCAGGTGTTGGTGGTGGGGTAAAGTCGTTTTCCTGTTGACATTTTGTTAAAACCAAGAAACAACAGAAAGCTGAGGGTAGGACTGCTACCAACTAGAAGTAAATGGTCATAACTTAAGCATTTCCTCTCTTGAGTTCAAATGTCTTAATACCAGGTATGTTATTTAGAAAAATAGCTTGTAGGGCCTGGAAAGATGGCTCAGAGATGAACTCAGAGGTCCTGAGTTCAGTCATCAGCAACCACATGGTGGCTCACAACCATCTATAATAAGCAGGCATACACGCAGACAGAACACTGTTTACGTAATAAATATATCTAATATCTCTTTCTAGCTGTATTTGTACCATGCTGTTTTTTATACTAATTTTGGATTTGTTGTTTTAAGATTACATTTATTAAAACACGTTTTTCATTCTTCAATAGGCAAGTTTGGTTGGCTTAGTGGACTATCCAGATGATGAAGAGGAGGATGAGGAAGAAGAATCATCCCCCAGGAAAAGACCTCGCCTTGGCTCATAGATACTTGCTGGGGGACTCCCAACACATGGTCTTACTAAAACGCTGCAGCTGCTCATTGAGCTCAGCTCTGAATTAGAAAACTTTCTCATGGAACTTAACACACATGGAGTTAACAGACACTCAGTTATCAGGTAGGAAAGTGTAGTTGTGTAAGAAACCAGGCTCCCCGACAACTTCATTGTTTCCTATTGATTAAAGGGTTTTTGCCTTTTGGGCTGCCCAAAATAAGAACAAGAAATGATTGTTGAAGCCTGGCTGTAAGCTTCCCAGCTCAGAAAGTCTCAGGTTTGGGGGAGGAAAGCTTGTCAATGCAGGGTTGGTTCAAGGGTGAGAATTCAGTACCCAATAACATTGCTTATATAATGGTGCTGGCCATGTTGTTTTAATCAGTTGCCTCTTTTTAAAAGAAATTTTTATGTAAAACAAATTGAACTGTCATTAGAAATGCTATGCTGTTGGGACCATTTCCTTCAAGAGTTCACAGAAGCCAGCCTTTGGTGTTTGACAAGACATATACCCTAGGTAACAGCACATACCAATTTCTCTCTACAGAGACTTCTAGTACATAAAGAAAACAAACTAGGTTCCAAATGAATAGTTTTCTTAATAAAAACTTTTAAAGTCAGCACTTTAGAGGTGACAGCAGCCAAGAAATACAACTGCAGTATTCTGAACTGGTCCTCTTCAAAACTCAGGAGTGGCTGGCTCTACTTCCCCCAGTAAAGTCACTTTCTGCTTTCTCAGTAAAGTTAGGTGTCTGGGTCTTCTTGGGGTTGCTGACACAGTTATATAGAGACCAATAAAGAATGGTGCTGAATTAAGTGGTATTTACTATCTAGAAGCCAATTTATCCTAGAGGTTTTAGAAGTGTCAGATTTATGCAGCATAGCACGGGGAAGCTTTTCCACAGACAAGGGTGTAACATGAAAGCTGCTTTTTTAAGAAAGTAAAAAGCACATTCCATGTTGTACGTAAATGAATTTAAAATAATTGAGGCAAATATTAAGAGATTTTATTTTTAGAACAGCAAGTTAATTGTAAATATTTTAATGTTAGTTTGCTCATCTATGATCTGAGATCATTGCTGAGATGAGAAAAATGACCCCAAACTACAATTTAATGCATTGGGAAAAAAAAAATTCTAAAACATAATTCCAGCTCCAGTCTTTCAATCAGCTCTGTAATGTGTTGTGGGTCCATTTTTCCTGGAATAGCTTAAAAGCAGTTTCCTGTGTTGGAGATTTTGGAGTTAATTTTAATTTTGGCTATTGTTTGGAAAAGATGGGCTGTCTGTGTAGATATGAAGTATAGTTTTTCCATAAAACAGATGTTTATTTTGTATTAAAAATACCACTGTACTTGTTTTACACCATTTGTATACATGTGGTGATATTAATGTAAAATTCGGGAATTAAAATGTGACCCTGTAATTCCATGATTGAGGCTTGTGTTTGTTTTGTTGTAAATATAAGCAAACTCTATTTTTGAGAGATGTCCAATTTATGTTCTTTTAAAAGTTTATAAAATCCATAAACACTTGTTATAAACCACTAAGTCAGAAAGTCTTACATGCAAGAGTCAGCCATAAATATCGCTTATAAGAGGTAAACCTTGATCAAATAACAGCATCAGAGTACCACAGCATGAAGCCATTTTATACCTCTGAACAAAGGTACACAGAGCAAGCCTCCAGTTCCATCATAACTAGACACTTTCAACTAGTATAATGGAGTTACTGTAGGCATTCTTCTAAGCAAATGCTATCAAGCCTCTTCCATCTAAGCATCCCTAATGTATAAAACTGTATTGTTCATACTCTACCTTATAAAGACTTCTTTTATTTTCCTTTCTGAGGAATTTCATACTTTTAAGTCATTATTGTGAGAAAGTGTTTCTTACAGCAGAAACGAATGTTTCCATAAAATACAAGGGCAACAGATATGTAATGTATATGCTCAACTACAAGATGGAAGGATCCTTGGAAGGAAGGCACAACTAGGAAGATTCTACACTCATTAACTGCTGTCCTAAGTGACGAGCCTCATGCAGGCTGGGGTGCTTATAGCATTATCTCCATTCAGTTAGTTCACATCAGTACACATTTGTATTGTATGTCTTAGGTCCTTAAAAATACCTGTGAACATGTACCTAATAAAAAGCTATTTTTTAATAAAAAGTTATGTGAACATATGTTTTCTCATCACTGGTTTTTCTGAAGATTGGAGCTTAAGTTATAATTTTAGATTCATGCAGATAAGATGAAATTTTAGAAAAACTCCAGTTGAGGCCAGCAAGATTGTTAAGTAGGTAAAGGAGCTTGCTGCCAATCCTGTTTGATCCCTGGAACTCAACATAGTACAAATTGCCCCTGACCTCCACAGGCACAGCGGCATATGCATGCCCAAATACACACACACAAAATGTTAAAAAAAAGAAATGCTTTGTAAACCAGAAAGGAGTGAGGATAAATTGTAACTGCAAGTTTTTGATTGTAAGATTATTCCGACTACCTTTAAGCAAAGAGACTAGGATTTTTTTCCCGGGGCCTTATAAAGACCAACACACTGTGGTAGGTAGCATTTCTCAGCAAGTTCAATCAGTTGATCCTTATCTGTTTTTATAACAACTTTTATAGAAAAGGCTGTAATTTTCTACATTTCCCACATTTATTTTCCAACCCATACTCATACTGCTTCAAATACTTTTGTCCAAGGTACTGCCTTTGGGTTGTGTCCTATAGCAGGTAAACCCAAAACTACACAAGTACACCTGCCTTGCTACAGAAGGCACACCTTTAAAAGCCAGAGTAAGTTTCTAGTTCCCCACAAGGCTTTCCACACTACCCTAACCTGCTGCCACCACATGATCTGGTTCAGCTTCAAAGCATATGTTTTGAAATTACTATATACTTGCTCAGCCAGCCTGCCATCTTATAACCACACTTTCCCCTTCTAACATTGCTTCTTGGCCCCAGGAAGGCAGGGACCCAGTCAGTCTGTTTGACTGCTATACGCTTGGTATGTTTCATGCCTAGCATGCACTATCAACTGATTTCTTTCTGTGGCCCCCTTTGAAGAGAAAACATCGAATTCTTTGTTTTATTATTCTTTATTTGGGTTATTTGAGGCAGGGTTGTGTAAGCCTAGCTGTCCTCCCATTTGCTGTACAGCTGAGGATGACCTTGAACTCCTGATCCTCCTACTCCAGGGTCTTGGTGCTAGGACTATAGGCATGCACCACCATACCTGGTTCTATGTAGAAATTTCTTCTAAACTGCCTTCCCTCTTGCTCTTTACCTGTTTGAAATAATAGTAGTGAGCTTATAATTGCATTTAGAAAGCAGTTATTTGCTTGAAACTAACAGTCTTTGTTTAAGGATTAAATAATTTATTTTTAAGAAAACTGGGCTTCTGTTCTGCTAACTCTTCATATTACTTATTAATAACTTCTTCTTTAAGTTTCTCTGCAAGCAGCCGCCTCTTTAGTAATGTCTGTTTCTCCTCTGCTGTCATTTCTGGCTTCTCTGTCATTTCCTTTAAAAAAAAAAAAAAAAAGGCTACAATTAAAATTTAGCTTCATATATCAAAGACAACCAAATTTCTTATATCTCTACCTGGAGAAGCATTGGGAAGCAGAGGTATGGACAGAACATTGCAAGCACTTGAAATGGCTAAGGTAAGATGGACCACTGACCCTAAGAGGCTCAACCCGGGAAGTCAACAAAAATATATAATGAAATCATTATTTCCACCTCACAGAGTTCTCATCTAAATTGTCCTGAAAGAAGACTTAGCAGCTGTCTCACTAGCAGGTGATTAATTTGAGTGGATCAAACAACAAAACTCATTGGAGAACTTTCTTACACAAACCAAAAACTCTTCCCCAGTGTGCAATTTGACACATTACAGCTAGCCATACCTCCACCTCCCTGGTAGGCTTTCCTTTTTGCTCAGTACTCTGCATCTGTTTTGCCCTCATATCCTTTCTCATGGACATCAGCTTATCTCTCTTCTGCTTGAGATAGTGCTCCCGTTGCCGTAACTCTTCTGTTCCAAGTGCTGACAAATTCTGGATGAGATAAGACAAGGAAATGTCTATATTCAACTCCATACAACATGTGGCAAAGACATGTACTGGATCAGTTTTGAGTTCCAAGATCCTAACAAAGATTAAAGAGTGTGGCTGCATGGCTCACAGTGCTTGCTCATAGTAAGTTACTTACTGCTATTGGTCCTTCCATGCTTGAATGTTCTAAGCCAGGAATCTTCAGACCTTTTTGTGGGAGGGAGGAAGTTTCAGGCAACAGCTCCATCTTTCTTGCCATGGGTTGTACTGACTGATTAGCAAAATGCACTTTAACTTCTGGCAGTAAACAGTGAGACCAATTAAGATAAAGAACCACACTATTATGATAAACAGATTCTTCACAAATAACATCTTTGGTTTCCAAACTTGTTTCTGAGTATGTGACTATACATTTAGGGAACAATTTTGAAACTGATTTTCTGTCATACTACACTAGTTGTCAACAGCAATGACTTGTTTTCTGTTATACTCTAGAAATAACTACCAATGCATTAAGAAAATGTAACCATTTCTAAAGCAAGGAGAAACTGCAAAGCACAAGTAATAAAAGCATTCAATACTTTGTTAACTGTACCATAAAGTATGATTAACATTCTAGCTGCTTCTCCAGTTTTATTTTCTATAAGCCTAGCAAGAAAGTTTAAGTCTCATATGAGTTTGATCCCAGGACCCACACGGAGGAATGACAGAATCAACTCATGCAAGTTGTTCTTGACCACATGCACATAGTACACAGTGGCACATATGCATATTCTCAGATCTCTCAGTCTCTCATGTACACACACACACACACACACACACACACACACACACACACACACACACTGAGTGGGGTTTAGGAAATGGTTCAGTGGGAAAAGTGCTGAGACATAACCCTATTCTGGATCCCCCACATTCATTTAAAAGGCTAAACTTGGCGGAGGACATCAACACCTGAGACAAATGGATTTCAGAGGCTTGCTGGCCAGCCAGCCTCGACAATCAGTGAATTCTAGATTCAGTGAAAAGACCCTATCTCAAACAAAGTGAGTAGCAACAGAGAAAGTGCATGAGTCATATGCACGCCAAAAAATAAAAACATTTTTAACTTAAGTACATGGACTATGAATAAAAATGGTGAGACATGGAAAGACTTACATTAAAATGATAGAAGTAAGATTATGAGAAAAGACCATGGTACACATCCCAAAGGATTAATCCTTCCAGGTGTGTATAACCAAACAAATTTGACAAGGATCACTCTTGTAGTACTGCCAGGGATGCTAGAAGAAATCCTTTGCAGGGTTCCATGAAAAGTTAAGAGTGGTACTTCCAGAGAGTCTAGGCAAAGGCCACAAAACCTAATGAGTTTAAACAAGTTGTTGCTGATACTAAGTTAGAACAGCCATATTTACTTTTTTTTTTTACTAGTTTAACAAAATTATTTTACTAGACTAGTCTTGGCACTTCAAACATGGAGCCATAGAACTGGAGAAGAAAGGGGCTCATACACTTAAGTATGTCTATTTAACTTAGGCACTTTCTTGAACACTCCAGGCTTTGCATGTGTTCGATATGGACACACTCTCAAGTTGCAAAGAGGAAAGTATGTGGAGCCAAAACACTCGTAGCTTTCCTTATTGTTAAAGGAAGGGTTAGAAGGGCTAATGAAACATCAACCCATCTCTGGCAACTCCATCAGAAAACAGGTATTATTATTTTTTGTGGGAACCAAGAGAAGGTAGGAACAAAAGGAAGGGCAAAAAACAAACACCTTGATTCTTTTAAAAGTAGGGCTTCTTACTAGGGTCCTATCACTTTACATGAAGTGATCCCAAAACATCAGACAGCAATTGTACAATGCCCTGAAAAATTAAAAAATATTAATTTTGAAGTTATCTGCCATTTGTTCTGCAGTTGATGTGTGTGGTCTATGATGAAACTTTGTCCTTGGTTTTCTCACTGTGTAGAACCTGCTGGGCTCAAACTCTCCGAGAGTGGTCTCCCTCTACCTGGCGTGTCTGGGATTACAGAAATGTACATTATGCACATTGGCTTGTTTTATTTTCAAAAGAGGGTGTCATGTCTGGACTGGTCATGAACTCTCCATCTGGCCAAGGATGGCTTTGTAGGCAGGCAGTATATGCAGAGCAACCAGACTAGGAAACAGGAGTTAAAGAGAGATGCCATGTAGCTGCTGGGGAGGCAAGAAGTCCAGACATCAACAGATAAGCCAAGAGCTAATGGAGATACCCAGATTAATAGAAATGAGTTAATTTCTTAATTAAGAAAGAGCTAGTCAATAAGATGCCTGAGCCATCGGCCAAACAATTTATGATTAATATAAGCCTCTGTGTGTGTATTTGGAACTGAAAGGTGGCAAGGCTAGGTTGAACAGAAATGCTGTCTTCACATTAGAGCACAGAAAGTATCTGAAGCAGGAAGTGTTGTATATATGATTCAGATGAACTCATTTCAGCTTAGAAACTAGAACATGAGAAAAAGGTGATCTAATATAATAAAGGGAACTTATAAGACAGTTTTCTGTTCCATGTTCCTGATAGCTTTAACCAAGATTACAGTTCCTTCAAAACCAATGAGTATTGTAAGTAAACTAAGAATAAAGGGGAACTTTGAAAAACATCTACAATTGGAAAAAAAAAAAAAAAAAAAAAACATTAAAGGCCTCTGCCTGTAACCCCAGCACTCAGTAGGCACAGGCAGGGAGATCTCTGAGTTCAAAGCCAGCCAGTACTTGAAAGATTTTAGTTTGCAGAGCAAGGATGTAGGAAAGGGGCAGAAGAATAATTCTTGCAAGTGTGAATATAGAAAATCTTAAGAATGGATGGACGTTGACATGGGAGAAAAAGACAGAAATTTATGAGAACAAGAAAGGTTACTGTGGTGATGGTGCTAGTGGTTAGATGCTAGACTGATCTTGTTAAATAGGGCTAGTAACTGAATCATCAATCTTTTGTGGAATAACTGAAGGCTCTAAATGTACAGCCAAGAGAAAGCCAGAATATGAAAAAAGTTTTTCACAGGTCTTGGTCCACAACAAGGAAATAGGCCCCCAACCCTGGAACAAATGATTCCAGATGAACAGCCCTGTTTGGGTCACTCCTGGCCAACGGACAGTCTGGGAACTTTCCACGTCATTCTATGGTTTATCCTTTGAATAAGAACAGGTCATACCTGATGATCTCTCAAACATGAGACCATACTTTGTAATCAATCACCTTGTGCCCCATGCATGTATGCTGATTGCAGTCTTTCTCTATAAAAAGGAGCCTAAACCCTTTGGGGGCTGTGCAGCTTTCCCCAAGATTGCTGACACCCGAGTGCACTTGTTCAATAAACACCTCTTGCTTGTTGCATTTCCTGGTTTTGGTGTTGTGTCACAGGGCTCTCCCACCAGCCCATCAGGACCCTGGAATTAGGGGCCAACATACTGAAGAAAATCTTATTTAGAGTCAGGGGCACATTTCACTTTTAGGAACTCAGAACACTTGTAAAGTAACTTTCTTGATTTGGAAAAACAAATGAAAAATAAGGAACATAGATTCTATCTCACATTCTTTATCTTTTTCAATTGAAAAAAAAAAGATTTAAAACCATAGAAAAAACAAAATGAATTAATGATTCAATTTCTGTTGCAGTTACTTGTTATCCTATACATTAGAAGAAAAGATTCAAGGTGGATGTGATTTATACTGAACAAGTTCATCTGCTAGCATTTCCTTTAAGGACTAAACATCTAGAGAAATTGGCTGTACTACCTTAGGGTGATTTTTTTTTTTTTAAGTAATTTTCAATATTAACCCTCGAAGTTAGCTTCCAGTGCACAAATATAAATATTATACTGTTAAGATTGTACAAAAGCTGGTGGCTCCCTCAAAGAAAATCTGTTAACTCTCTGGATACAAGCTTCTCTTAGAAATGTGGAAATGATATTCACTTTCATCTGGGTATTTTCTACCTGCAAACCAACTAAACTTGGAAAGAACTTTAAGTACCAAAGCCACTCACTGTTCCAAGGCTTTTGAGGGTTAAATGTGTTCTGAAGTGTAACATACTCTCAGGGTTTACATGTTAGTGTGCAGTACACCTCAAGCTTACCTGTGGGAGGCTGTACAAAATGTCCACCATCTCCCTGGGAATTACTCATGTTTGCAGCTTCACTAGTATACATTGGCAGCTCTTCCATTTTAGCCTCTGATGTCTTCAGGGTTCCATAACACAATTTAAAAAGAGGGAATTTTTTTTTTAATGTTAACAACCAATAGTTAAGGGATCCAAAGATTTTATTTAAAACATTACTATGCACAGAACTAGAAAATCCACAGGTTTTCCCAGGAATTTAAACATATTAACATTTTATAGCTCTTACTTTCTTTTTTTGTTGTTGCTTTGAGACAGGATTTCTCTGTGTAAAAGCTCTGGCTGGGAAACTCTGACTGGCCTCGAACTCCCAGAGATCAATCTGTCTCTACCTCCCAACTGCTAGGATTAAAGGCATGTATCATCATGCCTGACTAGCTCCTACTTTTGTTATTTAATTTTTTAGACTTACTTTGGTGTGATTTTGCTTGCATGTATATATGTATGTATACTGCATGCATGCCTAGTGCCCACAGAAACTGGAAGAAAGCATCATATTCGCTGGAACTGAACCTGGGTCCTCTGCAAGAGCAGCAAGTACTCTTTAACTGCTGAGCCATCGCTACAGCTCCTATACCTCCTACTTTTTGAGGAAATAATATTCTGTTTCAGATCATACAGTATTAATGATAACCAATACAGTAGGATTTATGATGTAGGAAGAACTATGCTGAAAGCCATGGTTGCTATTTCGACATAATAAAAAGGGGTCAAGGAAAGTGAAATTTTTCTCTTTTCTTTGAATACTGAGAAGTAAGGGGTTTATTTATCTTTGGTAGAGTGAGCATAGAGAAACAACTCTGAGGAGCAGGAGGAGCTCTGAGGTGATCTGAAGGAGAATGGCCCCCATGGGCTCCTGTCTGAATGCTTGGTTCCCAGTTGGTGAACTGTTTAGCAATGATTAGGAGTTGTGACCTTGTTGGAGAAGGTGTGTCACTGGGGGTGGGCTTTGAGGCTTCAAAAGCCCATGCCAGGCCCACTCTTGCTCTCTGCCTGCTGGCTGTGGATAAAATATCAACCCAGCTACTGCTCCAGCACTATGCCAATCTGCCTGCCTGCCTGTCTGCCTGCTGACATGATCTCCATGATGGTCATGGACTCACCCTCTGAAACTGTAAACAAGGTCCCAACTAAATGCTCTCTCTATAAGTTGCCTTGTTCATAGTGTCTCCTCACAGCAATTATAAAGACAAGCTCCAGTGGAGGGCTACTATGGACTTTATAAAGAATTCCCCAGTATAGTGTATATTACCACTTTTGATGTGATACTCGGCCTTTCCCATGAAATGTAAAAGATAGGTTGCTGGACTAATAATATAAAATGAACTAATTTAAACTGATAGAATTCTGAATTTGGGTGTGGGGGAAAACTAGGGATTAACCTAAGACACATATATTAAACATACGCTGTCATGAGCTACAGCCCTAGCATCAATAACTACTAAGAATGTATAAAGTATACTCTTGTAAGAAAGTATTGAGCTAAGCATGGTAGTACACACCTTTAATCCCAGCATTGGGAAGAAGGAGCAGGCAGATATCTTTATAGGTTTGAGGCCAGACTGGTATAAATAATAATTTCATTGCCAGCCAGGGCTACATAGTAAAAAAAGCCTATCTCAAAAAGCAAACATAAAAAGTATTCTCTTACCAAGCTGTGAACTCTGCAAGCTGCAATACTGACCTGCCAGACAGGATAAGCACTCTGGTGAAATAGCATAACCATTGTGGATAAAAAACAACTGCTTTCTGATAAGCAACCCTAATTAAACTCAGTGGATCATAAAACCAGCAATGAAAGCAAGAGGGGGCTTCTTAGGAAAAGGGCAATGAGGAAAATATGGTCAAAATACATTATATACATGATGAATCTGTCAAATAAATCATTGGTTTTTTAAAAGAAGGGACTGGGAAAATGGTCCAGTGGGTAGTTACTGCCACACAGCATGAGGACAGGGGCTCTCAGATCCCTAGAACAGCACATATAAAAGCCAGGTGGGCATGGCAGCTAACCTTTAATCCCTGCATATGGAGATAGTATTCCCTGAGCAAAATGACTAAGACTAGCCAAAATAGGACCTGGGTTCAGCAAAAGACCCAATGTGAAAAATTGGAGGGTGCCACTTGACACCAACCTTGGGCACACACACAAGCCCACATGTACATGCACACACAGGCATGTGTGCTTTCACACATGCAAACATACATACAAGGCACACGTAGTGGCTGCACCAACTGAAAGGAAATGCTATCTTCCATCTTTTAAAAAACAATAAAAAGTAAAATATACTGACTTGCCAAGAAATATGACTCATCTAAGGAGTTCTATAGAAACATAAATGCTAACAGTAAAAAACAAGTGTGTAAACTCAGCAAGAAAGAGGCAATGCCAATGAGATATACTTCTGCATTAACATCCTGCAAGCACCTGCTTTTTTCGTTTCCTTTCTTCTTCCTGGTCATATTCTTCTTTTGATTTTCTGAAAAGTAATAAAGATAAATCTGTGTTGTTTTGTTGTTTCTTGAGATAGGGTCTCACTATTTGGCCTTGGCTGTCCTGGAACTTATTGTGTAGACCACCCTGGCCTTGAACTCACAGAGATCAACCTGCCTCTGCTTCCCGAGTGCTGGAATTAAAGGTGTGCACTACCACCCAGCTAAAAAGTAAACTTCTTCATCAGAGAACAAATATGCAGCATGTTAACCTGACATTATTATAGTACGGACCAAGTATTTTACCACAGAGAGGGAGAACAGCCATCTCAACACACCTGCTCTACAGTCACCTGTAACAAGACAGCAAAGTACAGCTATTAATAGACTATATGGGTTTACTACTGAGCCCTAGCTGAGTAACAACCAACAGATTTGAAATCCTGAACCTATTTTTCTTTTCTTTCTTTTTTTTTTTCTTAGTATACAAATGAGTGCTCTAAACCCACATTTCAATGGCAAAGACTCATTCTGGCCAGAGTAGTGGGCACATGCCTATAAACCCAATACTTGGAAGGTAGAGGCAGAAGATTCAGGAAATTAAGGTCATCCTCAGCTATATAGGCCAGCCTGAACTACAGAAGACTCTGTTTCAAAAACAAAAATGTAAAAATTCAACCTCTTAGAAATGTTATATCCCCTGACAGGAACAGTTTTCCCCTTGTTCTGGCCTGTGCAGTGGCATCTGAGCTATTTACAAAGTTGTCCTGCCAAATACCCATTTCTTTAAGCAGTTCAGAGTAGCTCTCACTATGAAACAGCTGAGGCCAGTTATCTTAAATGTCCACAGCTAAGCTTTAGAAACTAAAAATGTATAAGTACTAACCCCACCAAAATGGTTTGTGCTATGTCAGCACTAGTTGGAGGAACCCTAACCACCCTGATAAGAGTCAGGAACTAGTCACAGTCCAGGAAGAAGCCAGGCTGCAGGAGACACCACTTAACAGTTCCAGGGCAACAGTCAGTCAATGCATCCAGTCCAAAATACCACCTGGAAACTCAAGCTCCCATCTGCCCCTGCCACAGGGCAGGATCTGGCAGGAAAGGGCTGTGTCCACCACTAACACTTCTGCCTCAGTCTCCATAACCATTCACATTCCCTAAAATTAAGCTCTAAGCTTTGGAGCTCCTGTTAGTTTCCCACTAGGTCCATCCTTCTAAACAGTGACTACAGACATCCTTTTCCTCTAAGCCAAGCACATTCTCACAGATTTAAAAATTACATGCTATTATGGATCCTTCTTTCCAAAGCTCCCACAAGGGAAAAATAATGCCCACTAAACTTTTTTGGTTAAAGGGTTATACTCCCCATTGCAAGAATCTGGTTGAGATGGGAAAACGTGATTGGCAAGATACTTTTCTGAGATCAAGACCTCTCACTGTCCTTCCTTGTAGGCTACCTGTCACTCCTCAGCTGGGCAGCTGGGGCAGGGAGGTACAGATGCCTAGATTTCAACTTTGCAACACCAGTATTCTGGTGGTTCTAATAATGAGACACAGCAAATGGGGAGAACCCTGGCCAGCCCAGGTCACAATCTTATCTACCCTTCCCCATTAATCCCTGGAGTCTTTTGCAGCATTTTCCATTGGTAGCTAGTTCCTTAGTCCTATGGTAAAGAACACGTGGGATAAGGCTAGCAAAATCCTCTCAATTGGACTGATCCAAGTTTTTTGTTTTTTTTTTTTTTTTCCTACAGTTAAATGTAATACAAATTGGATACCTAACATAAAACTCTAAAATACTCTAAAAGGCTTTGTTTGGCACATCAACAAAATGCTCAAAAGGATTTAAATTGGGAAATGTTTGGATTTATGGTTTCTGGATTAGGGATCTCAGCTTATTTGTGGACTGTGCAAGTATTCCAAAATCTGAAACACTCCAGTTTTATCATTTGGATAAGGGACACTCAAGCTCTGTATTCATAGCTAAAAAATAAAAAATCATATTGGACTTGCTAGTTGATCATATTTTCTACGAAAAGTTAATATCCATTCAGATCATATACAACACTGTTAACAGTTTATTTGGAAAGCAGCTCACCTGAGGACTTCCCTCAGGATTTTCATCTCTTCCTGTTCAAGATCACTGACTACATCGGCACCATCAGTTAAGCAGTCAGGTAACACACCTGTTCAAAAGCAACCACACAGAAGACCATCAACTCAACTGAAAACACTTCTCACTGTTCTGGTGCATCAGGTACAAATTAGTTTACAATTTATCACTTAAAAATTTTTTCAAGCCTTATCTTTTTAATTATCTTGTTTAACTTTCTCACATTTTAGGGACTAAGCCCCACAAAAACCAGTCACAATTTTAGCTAGAAATATTTTGCAGTTAAAACTTGTGTTGACTATCTAGAATTGCAATGACTATCTAAAATATCTAACATAACAATATGTAACTCAATGGTAGAGCCCTTAACTAGTATGCATGAGCCCTGGGCTCAATTCCCAGCACCAAAAAAAAAAAAAAAACTGGAGCGATGGAGCCATGGCTGTACAGGTAAAGGCCCTAACACCACACCTTATGACCTGAGTTTGAGTCCTAGGATCCACATAGTAGGAAGGGAACTCTACAATTCTATAAGTTGTCATTGACATCCACAAGCACATCATGTTACTCGTGTGTGTGTGTGTGTGTGTGTGTGTGTGTACCTGTATCACTATTTGTCTCACACAATTTAAAAATGTAAAACTTGAAAAAACTATATCGCAATAAAAATAATAGATATTATAGTCTTCCATTATCACACATTATCTACTACTGATATCATTTAGCCAGGGTTAATGAAAAGCTTTCAAAAGTGAACCATAAATGGGAAAGTTTACTAAACAAAATGGTATTATGTTAGAGGACCATCAGATGGTCTCATTTGAGCTGCAATGCCAGTGAAAGGGCCTGCTTACTGTGTACAATGACAACATTTGCTCAACACTGGGGGATATGAAGATTAGTAACATTTTCTCTACCCTTGAAGCATTTGTTCACATACTAGCAATGGCTTTAAATCACCTTTGGCCAATTTCCACCTCTCATGTCCCCAACACAAATTCACAGGAAGTAATTTTAACTGTTGGTTTGATTTACTTAAATCTCCCTGATAAGGGAAGCTGGTAAACACTGCTTTGTTCATGTCCATATTCTATAGCATTGGCAGAGTATACCTTTATTTTACTTTTCATCTCTTTATGCAAATGTGCACAGTGGAATTCTAGATTAGCTCTAAAGTAGTTTTATTATCCTAATTTCCTTGATATTCACACGCATTTTGGCCTAAACATTCTGTTAACTGCAGTCATTTGTAAAGAAAGAGCAGGAAGATACATGCACACTTTACCCACAAGAGAGTCCCACCTGTAAATACATCATCTGTAGTGTAATTTTGCTCAGTCAAAAGATAGCAAATAATTCTCCTAGCAACTTTTCTAAGGAGAACTAAAAGCAGGAACAAACAACAGTATAAAATTCTTTCAAATCATAAAAATGTATTTTCTCCAAATTATTTGATCAGATACAAATAAGAGTCAGAAAAGCTTTTGAATTTTTCTTACAAAAATAAAACTTGACAGGCAGTGGTGGTGCATGCTAGAGTGATATTTTGTGTTGTAACAAATAAAGCTTGCCTGAATATCATAGTGCATAGCTAGCCATACTAGTTAGCCACAGAGGCTAGGCAGTAGTGGTACACACCTTTAATTCTAGCACTCAGAATCTCTGTGAGTTCAAGGCCAGCCTGATCTACAGAGAGAATCCCAGGATAGCCAAAGGCTGTTTGTTACACAGGAAAACCCTATCTTGGGTGGGGGGGGGGGGGTAAGAAAATTTCCAAACATCCTGTTCTGAGTACAATCAACACTGATCTACTACTGACCCCTGGATGTAAGTTAAACAGCATAAAGACTAAAAGTTCCAATGCATACAATAAATTTTAGCTTAAACCCAGACACAGGACAACCTGCCCTTATATTGTTAACTGACAGCAGTCATTATTCTACTTCATCCCTCCTTTCTCCAATAAAGTCTGTGCAGTCATCTGGTAGCCATCATATAAAGGTCCTCCCTCACCTCAGGAGGGTGGTGCTTGACTGGGTCAAACTATCACAATGGTCTCATCCACTTGCAGTCAGTTTAAGAAAGGCAAGTGACCCCAATCCTGTGCAATAGGGCCTCAGTAGAAGGCTCTTGTAGGGCTTGCACAAAATGTTACCTTGCTAACAAAAAGAAAATCACACAGAAGGAATTTCCTCACAAAACACTCAGTCTGTATTGGAAGCAGAAAAAAGAGGCTGGCAATGTCAGAATACAAAAATGGCAAGTGTCAGAGACCTTGAAGCCATCACTGAACCACTAGAGTAACCATTCTGGGCCTGCCTGCCTCTGGACTTCTTGATCTGGGAGACTGTGCTCGATAGTCTGACGTAACTTGATACAAGCTAAAGCTATCTAAAAGGAAGGAACCTCGGTTGAGACAATGCCTCCATAAGGTCTGGTGGGAAACTTACAAGTGATTGATGGGCGAGTGCCTAGCCCATTGTGGGTGGTGCCACCCTTGGGCTGGTGGTTCTGGGTTCTAGAACACAGGCTGAGCAAGTCATGATGAGCAAACTACTAAGCAGAATCTCTGCATAAGCTCCTGCCTCCAGGTTTCTGTCCTGCTTGCTGGGGGTAGTGTGATGGCTCAGTGGGCAAAGGTGCCTGCCACCAATCCTAATGACCTTATGTTGGATTCCTAGGACCTGCTCCTGAACGATGTCCCCTGACCACATGTGCACCATGGCACATATGCTCCTCCCCTCAAAATAAAAAGCCCTATTTATTGCACATTCCACACCCTTAAGGGCAAACAGCACAACTGAAATACTGCTCCCATACCTTCACAAAACAACCAAAGGGGAAGGCTTGCTGCCAGACTAATCAAGTACTGGTCCTTGTGGCCCAGGACCAGCAGCTTAAAGATGCCCTACCCCTCACCCACTAGAGCACAAACTGGAGCCAGCCAGTTGACTGCATGCTTACTGGAGCCTGAGAGCCATTTCCTACTAAGGTCTTAATAGTGATAAGCCAGAAGAGTAGTCCCTTGTTCTCAACAACAACCAAAGAAAAGCGAGCCTCAAAAAACTAAAACATCATTCAATTCTCATCATCTTTTGTTGAAATGTCACACGCCAATTTAGGAAATGTACATCTTTCACATTAGCCAAAGACTTTCAAATGTGAAATAACTGCATAAAATGTAATTATGTCTAAGATGGCAGGAATAAAAAACAAAAAACAGGAAAACAATCAAACTTCCAAAAGACGTCAGTGCTTTACCATTCCTCTCCTGGATTATCCGGATGGCTTGAAGCTGCATCTCAATGTTTTTCTGAACCATCATTGCTTTAAAGATAGTGAAGTCCTCTGCCGCCAGCACGGGCTGCAAAATGGCCTGTGGGAGGAAGTCTGGGTGTTAAAGGAAGTTTGAAACTATTTGCCCCACATTCAAATACTATTTCCACTGAAAAGCAGCACATTAATTCATGGATATTACATTAGTATCATGGTTAGAGGGCTCACATGGACAATCCTAAGATAAAAAACAATAGGGTTTCACTATGTAGCCATGGTTGGCCTCAAACTCCTATTTCTCCTGCCTTGGCTTCCCAAGTGCTGGGATTGCAGGGTGTACATAGCTACACCCTGCTAAGAGTTTTTACAGCCTTTAAAATAGAGTTCTCAGAGATAAGTCACTCAACCCCCAGTCTCAGACAGGCTGCCTTCTTTCTCAAACCAGCCACATAATGGCTTAAAACCATCTGTTAAGTCCAGTCCCACTGACTCCAGTGCCCTCTTCTGACCTCTGTGGATTCTGCATATATGATACATGGACACACACATAAAACACAATCTTTTATTTTTATAAAATACAATCTTTAAAAAGCACTTTTGCTTCTGAAAAAAATAGATATAGTAACAACTGTCTCACAGAGTATTAAATGAATTAAGTAAAATTTTATGATCTGAAAAGTAAATGTAAAAGTAATTCTGTTCCATTATTATTATTATTATTATTTTATTTTTCTTATTTGTAATTATATGTTTGTGAGACGTGAGATCCCCTGGAGCTGGAGTCACAGTTGGTTGTGAGCTACCTAATGTGAGTGCTGGGAACTGAACTCAGGTCCTCCGGAAGAGCAGTGTGCACTCATAACTGCTGAGCTAACTCTTCTGTCCCAGTGTTCTGGTCCTTTAAATACTTGTTGAAATTGACAAACTGTTAACCCAGCTAAGAAAGAACTGGGCTATATAGTGAGTTTGAGGCCAGCCTAGACTACTCAAGACATTATCTCAAAAAAACAAAAGATAAATAAAAACCACAGCTATCATCATACTTCAGAAGCATTGGATCATGCTGGGTAGTGCACGCCTTTAATCCCAGCACTCAGGAGACAAGCAGGTAGATGTCGGTGAGTTCAGGCCAACCTGGTCTACAGAGAGAGTTACAGGACAGGCTCCGAAGCTACACAGAGAAATCCTGTCTCGAAAAACCAAAAGAAAAGCTTGTGATCCCATTATGATCTTATAATCATAAAAAAGAGAATAGAGAATTATGCAAAACTCTGTGCCCACAAACTTGATGACCAGTGTGACAAAACTAACACTATAATATGATATAGTCTATTCACTATCTCTACTTAAAACGTTAATTGTTAATAATACATTAGTGACTGTACAAACAGAAAACACAAGGTCAAGATGGTTTACAGGTAAAACCTACCTAACATTTGAGGGAGAAATTATACTACCTCTCTATAGCCTCTCCCAGAACACTAAGGCAGAGAGAACACCTACTAACTCATTTCCTGAGACCAATGCTTCCCTAATTCCAAATAAGACAAAATTTGACAAGAAAGGAAAACCAAAGAAAGGTCAGAGGTGCAAAAATATCCAAAAGAATTTTAGCAAACTTAATTCAACAATGTATAAAAGGAATTATATAACTGGAATTTTTTCAATTATTCAAGTGGAGTCAGCATTTGAAAATAACTCACTATGTCATTCATCAACGGACGGACTAGAAACTACCTTTGACCCTATCAATAAATATGGAAAAGTAAGAGTCCAAGAATAAGAATATGAAAATGTAGGTCCCAAAAATAGGAATGTAGAAATATAGGAACATAAAGCTGTAGGCCTAGGAGAATGATAGCAGACTGTCAGAAAGACAGTCTCAGGAACTTAAGTATTAACTATTAGCAATGGATTTCCTTGCTTTAGGATCTATAGCTCTGTCAGCCTTAAAGAGCTGAAATGGCTCTCTCCAAACTCAGGGTCAGCGTTTTAGATTACTGTCCCTGGCCATGAGCTAACTGTTTTGTTTTCTTTTGTTTTTGGTTTTTGTTGTTGTTGTTTTGGGTTTTTTTGTTTTTGTTTTGTTTTTTGTTTTGTTTTGTTTTTTTTTGAGACAGGATTTCTCTGTATTGCTTTGAAGTCTGTCCTAGAACTAGCTCTGTAGACCAGGCTGGACTCAAACTCACAGAGATCCACCTGCCTCTGCCCACTTAGTGCTGGGATTAAAGGAATGTGCCACCAATGCCTGGCGTGAGCTTACTTAAATGATGAGATGTATGAGACTTTTGCTTGTGCATTGTCCTATACTCTCCCCAGCTATGCAAAACTGGCAAGGTCTGGAAGTGCAAAGTTTCAGTAAACACCATCAGCAAGTGCCAGAAAGAAACAATGGACTAGACAGATACAAAACCTAGTTAAACTGAAAAAAACCCTATGAAGGAAAGTTGTAAAAAGCAATTTGTAACTGAGTTTTTCCTCAAGATTGTAAAAATTATTTTGTTTATGAATAATGCTTGCTTCTTACTATAAAAAGGAGAGTTCAAAAACTTTCCAATTTGCCTCAGTTTCAGAGGCCCAAACTCTGGCTATGGTCACAGCTATAGCTGATAAGCTTTTGTGCTCTGCAGAGATTTTTTTTCTTTTCATTTTCGGAATAAAGCTTGCTTCTGGTTTAATAGACTTTGGTGGTCTGTCTCCCATCATTGTGAGACCCCAGACCCAACAGGAAATAGCCTTTGACAAAAACCTAATACCTATTCACATTTTATAAACATTTAAAAAAAATTAGCTGGGTGGTGGTGGCACAGTCATTTGGAAGGCAGAAGCTAGCAGATCTCTGAGTTTGAGGCCAGCCTGCTCTACAAAGAGAGTTCCAGGACAGCCTCCAAAGCTATACACAGAAACCCTGTCTTGAAAAACAAACAAGCAAAAACAGAAAAGAGCCAGGCAGTGGTGGCACATTCCTTTAATCCCAGCACTCACAGCGAGGCAAAGATCTTTGTGAGTTTGAGACCAGCCTGCTCTACAAGAGCTAGTTCCAGGACAGCCTCCAAAACCACAGAGAAACCCTGTCTCGAACCCCGTCCTCCCCCACCCCAAAAGAAAAGAAACTAGAATCTTTTCTACCAAGATTAGCAACAAGTCCAAGATGACACCTCACAACTCTCATTTAACTGTGTATATAAGTCCTGGCTAATCAAAGAAGTTGGGTTTAGGGGTTTTGGTTTGTTTTTTTACTTGCTGCTCTTCAAGAGGACCCAGGTTCAGTTCCCAACCCCCATCTAAAACATCTGCACAAACATCTGTAACTGCCCCTAGGAGCTCTGAAACCTCAGCCTCTGAGCACCCTCGGACTCACACGCAGATACACACCTACAAATAATTACAATGAGTGTAAAAAATATAAGGGAAAAAGTTATCTGTTTTGCAATGGACCAGCAATGAACAATTAGAATCTGCATTTCAAAACAATAGCTTTCACATTAGCAACACAAAAATGGAATGCAAAGAAATTTAACAAAATTATCTACATCAGGGTTTCTCTACTTACAAACTCTTTTCACCTAAGAAATAGTCATGTAATAAAAGGTTTCAAGAAATGAAACATTTGCTCCATTTTCTATAAACCTAAAATTGCTCTAAAAATATTCTATTTTTATCTTAACTAACATTATATATAAGTGTTTATTATCATGTATGCATTGAGAAATTAAATGGAAATACTATATTATATAATATTCTCAATAGTATTAGTTACTAAAAGTAAGCATAATTTTCCCAAATTATTTTTATTGTACAAGAAATGCTTCTACAACTGTTAAGTTTCCCTCTGAAAAAAGTAAAATTAACTAAAATATCAAAACAAATTTCTATTCTTTGCTATATTGAAGTCTCTGGCTTTGCTATTATAACACAGACACACAGACACACACACACACACACATACACACACACACCCCACAAGTTTTTTTTGGTTTTTTGAGACAGGGTTTCTCTGTGGTTTTCGAGGCTGTCATAGAACTAGCTCTTGTAGACCAGGTTGATCTTGAATTCACAGAGATCCACTTGACTCTGCCTCCTTGTGAGTGCTGTGATTAAAGGAATGTGCCACCAATGCCCAGCAACACATCACAAGTTTTTACAGGTTATACAGAAAAGTGAGATGTTAAAAGGTGAGCTAGATAAAAGTACCTTTATAGACCCTGAAAAGAAGTTGTCCCTGACATCCACTCACACACACATACACATATGCAAACGGAAAACTATCTATTAGAGGTGTGGTTCTCATCCTTACTAACACTTCAACCCTTTAATACAGTTCATTATGTTGTAGTGACCCCCCCCAGCCATAAAATTATTTTCATTGCTACTTCATAACTATAATTTTGCTAGTTATGAATCATAATGTAAATATCTGATATGTGACCCCCAACAGGGTCATGACCCCCAGGTTGAGAGCTGCTGTACTAGAGGGATGTACTTTTTTCTTTTTGGTTTTGCTTTTTTTTTCAAGGTAGGGTTTCACTGTGTAGCTCTGGCTGTTCTGAAACTGACACCATAGACCAGGCTGGCCTCAAACTCAATGTCTAATTTGTTGATGTCTTACATCACAACTCTTCTACCTCCAAAATTAAATATACTAAAATTAAAGAGAAGCCCTGAGAAACATGAACATAGTAACACAAAAGCTAAAACCTGTGATGTGCGTGTCTTTGCCAGAGGGGAGGTGCATGCTTCTTGAAACTGATCTTCATTAATTCCAATTTCTTTGAGGTAACTTTCTAACAGCTTTTCAACCTAAAAGGAAAAGGTTTAACTTTTAGAAGTTACATAGGAAAAGTCTAAATGACATTCTGCCTGTTTAGAATATTGTTTGTACTTAACAGAAATATGATTATATAAGACACAGAAGTAATAATGTCTTTCACCAATAAACTAACACCAAAAAAGTTTTTTGTTTTTGTGTTTTCTTTTTGTTTTTTTTTTTTTTGTTTGTTTGTTTTTTGTTTTTTTGCCAAGAATCACATGAGTTTTATTTCCTCTACTAGAGGTAGGCCAGCCTTATGGAGGTGAACATGGTACAACTCCTCTATTCAATGCCGTTTTTAAAATACTCTAAAGCTCTTAAAATTTCTAAAACTATGAGTAAGGGAAGCAATTGCCTACATGGACCAACTAAATAAGAATTACATTACAAATGAAAGATCCCCATAGCTACAATAAATCATGACTTAAAAAAGATACAACATCATTTGAGAAGATGCTCACAGAGATCATGAGCCTGAGAATACTGTCAGTGCACTGAAGCAGGACAAACTGTGGTGCTAAAGAATTCAGTGGAAGCTACAGAGGACTTGGCAGCTAGAGCAGCTGCTGGTGTCCAGAAGATCCAGGTTTAATCCCAGTACACACATGGTGGCTTACAACCATCCATCACTCTAGTTACAAGGAACCCAACCCCGCTCTTTTGACATCTGTGGGTCCAAGCACATATGTGGTGTATATGCAGGCAAAACACCCATGCACATGGTAAATAAATCTGAAAAAACTATTTCAAATAATTATAATTTTAGAAAGAATTTTTTTTTTTTTTAACTTGACAAATCTTATAAACTACCTCTTAGCTGGGCACAGTGACACATGCCTTAATCCTAGCATTTGAAAGGCAGAGGCAGACAGATCAATGTGAGTTCAAGGCCAGTCTGGTCTATAGAATGAGTGCCAGGATAGGATTCAAAAGCTACACAGAGAAACCCTGCCTCAAAAATAAACAAACAAATAATAAAATACCTCTTAAAATCAGTGGAAAAAAAAGCCAGCTCTTATGGTGCACACCTCTAGTGTCAGCACTGGGGAGGCAGAGGCATAGAGATCTCTGGGTGATCAAGGCCAGCATAGTTTACAAGTTAAATTCCAGGCCAGCCAAAGATTCATTTCAAACAAAACAAAAATCAGTGGCAAAAATACTCACTAGCTCTTTGTATTCTTGATGAATTTCTGTATAGGTCAATTTGCTTTCTTCTTCATCATCAAAAACTAAATTAAAAGAGAAATGGACAGTGTGAAAAAAAAATCATTTCATTAAATACAAATATAAAAGTGGACTTGCAGGGCCTTGTTCTTCCTTCCCACCATGTGAACTGTGGGATCAAGACTGTTCCCGCTTTATATTTCATGGTTTATATGTGTGTTTTCTCTTGGTAGACTACAAACTTCTCATAGAATTTCTATCCCCAGTTTCTGGTCCAAGGTAACTCAATAAATATTGAAATGTTGATACCACAAAGCTGTTTAAATTAACCTTAAATTGTCTGAAGTAGTGAGCAGCACACTGACAGCTCCACATCAATGAAATCCAAACAGTTATCTGAACGTCATTAACCTTTACTCTGCATCTGTTCTGTGTGACACTGCACATGCATTCAATACAAATGTTACTTAAACTCTTTCCGGACAATTCTGAAACCACATCACTGTAGAAAGTCTGTAAGCCCGAGCTTTGCTTCTCTTACTAGGGAGATGCACCCCCCTCTTGATAAACCATGCCTACCCCCTTTCCATTCAGCATTTAGTCTCAGTGGGGTAAATGGGTGAAAGAATCTCTTGTAAAGCAGGTCAGGCTTCTCCCAGGCTTCATCAATCTTTTAACAGCATTTTAAATTCTTCAGGTAAATTACTTGCTCTTCGAACCTCCTTAAAAGTTACCTGCAAAGCCTGGTGGTGGTGGCGCACGCCTTTAATCCTAGCACTTGGGAGGTAGAGGCAGGTGGAGCTCTGAGTTCAAGGCCAACCTGGTCTACAAAGTGAGTTTCAGGACAGCCAGGACTGTTTCACAGAGAAACTCTGTTTCAAAAAATAAAAATAAAAAAAGTTACCTGCAAATACACTTAACTGGTGTTTGGATTTTAACAGTTAAAGTAAAATAAAAGGTTCAGTGGTCAGAGAAAATTCTTTCTTTACTAGAGCCAAGGAATCTCAGGGTGAAAGAAATCTTGCAAGACAACCTGGGAACCCATTATGCTTTCAGGCTGGCCAACTCATCCTGGAAAAGTATATAAAACATTTCCTTCACTAAAATGTTTCCCTGCAACTTGCACTCACCCCAGCTCTACCACACTGATGTTTACAAACAAGTCTAATCCCTGTAACCTAAAACACTTGTTCAGAAGATTGATGGATATTGCTATCCTCCAGTACTGCCTAGGTAAATAACCATGAAGGTTGCATGTGACGTCATCTGTGGTCCTTTACGAAATGAACTCGGATATGAAAAGATCAAGAAAGCAGAGATTCTTATGAAAGACCCCCACTATGCTTATTGCCTGTTTAAATTGCTCTTGCTAATTTGCCAAGGTCAAGTTATGAGAAAAGTACAGGAGGGAACCAGGTGCTGCTCTCATCCAACGCCAACCAGATATCTGTGGTCTGCAGCTTGGACCAAAGCAAGGTCAGCAGGACAGTGTCCAGTATGTTGAGATAGTCATAACTGAATTCTTTGTATTCTTTGTGCCCAACCCGAATAACCAACTGTCCTTGGTTAACTACAACTGCTACATTTAGATGAAACAATGAATTCCCTGTAACCATGCTTCTGCTTCTGTAAGCCTGCTTCTTGCTACACCAACCTTATATAAACTGCATATGCTTTAATCAGGCACGCTCTCTCAGTCTCTCAAAAGACTGGGGCGTCCATAGGTACCTGTGTGTAAATAATAAATAACCTCTTGCACTTGCATCCAGTGGTCCGGTCTCGTCTCTTGGGGGCAAGGGCCTTCCCCCCTGACAGGCTCCAAACTCTTGGGGTCTCTGGGGGTCTTTCATTGGAGGTTCCACCGAGATTGGAGACCCTTCCCCCTAGAGACTGACACTGACACCCACCGGGAGGTAAGCTGGCCAGCGCTTAATTTCTGTTCTTTGTTGTCTTGTTCATATGTCTTTTACTTGTTGCTTGTTGCGCAGCGATCGGTAATCGGCTAGGCTAGTCGAGTCTGTAGGCGGCTTGAGAAGGAGCTGACGAGCTCGGACTTCTACCCGCCACCCTGGGAGACGTCTCAGGGATCTGGGGTGCCCGATTTTTCGGGGCCCACACGAGTCCCAGGGATTCGTGGTTTTGGGGGGGCCAGGGGGCTTAAGACCCTCTGTGCCTCCAACTCAGTATCTGGTTTCGGTTTTACGCCGAAAACGCGCAGCGTGTCCTTATGCCGGCTGTCTATGTGTTTTGTCTGTTCTGTTTATCTGTCTGATTCTTTATTTCGAAGAAAATATGAAACAATCTTTAACCACCCCCTTAAGTTTATTTTAGATCATTGATGATGTACAGAGTCGAGCTCACAATCAGTTGGTTAAAGGAAAAAAACTGTGTCGGACTCCCTGGTAGCCAGCTGACTCCGAGATCAAAGGGAGCCAGCCACCGAAGGAACCTGCTGAGCCTTTCCCCTGCGCCAGGCTGCTGGATTAGGAGGGCAATTTCAATTTCAATACTGACCTTTCTCGGCGTTCAACCTTTATAATTGAAAAATCTAACAACCCCTCTTTCTCCAAAAACCCTGTAGCTCTCTAACCTACTTGAATATGGCTTTTGCAGGTCCTCCTAACCTTGGGGGGGGGGGGGAACAACGCATCTTCCTGGGAGAAACGTCTTATTTGGCAACTCAGTTGCCAAATAAAATTGAGGAAATTTTTCCCCTAAATCGTCCCTGCTGGGACTTTAACACCTACGTCTTTATCGCCAGTTACTCTCAGCGGGTCTCCGCGGGCCTGGGACGCTGTCCCAGGAATTTGGCTCAGGTAAGACAGATAACCCAGGGACCGGAGGAAACTCCGACTGCATTTTTGGAGAGGCTAAAGGAAGCCTACCGTATGTATACACCCTTTGATCCTGATAGTAACGAGCAAAGGGGCAATGTTTCTATGGCTTTCATTTGGCAGTCGGCTCCAGATATTAGGACTAAGTTGCAGAGATTAGATAATTTATAAGATTATAGCCTGCAGGATCTCGTAAAGGAAGCAGAAAAGATCTTTAATAAGAGAAAAACACCTGAAAAAAAAGAAGAAAGACTTAGAAAGTTGCAGGAGGAAAGAGAGGACAAGTTTAAGAAGGAGCTAAAGGAGGAGAGAGAGAGAGAAAAAAAAAAAAAGAAAGAGAGAGGGATCATAGAAACCGGAGAGAATTAAGCAAAATCCTGGCCACTGTAGCTCAGAATAATCATAGTGCAGGAAGTCAGGAAAAAAAGGAAAAGGAAGGAGGCCCAGGGTAGATTGAGACCAGTGTGCCTACTGCAAAGAAAAAGGCCATTGGGTCAAAGATTGCCCTAAGAGACCTAAAACTCAGAGGCGTGGAGACGGACTCCCAAAGACCAACTCAGCTTCTAGCCCTAGATGAAGACTAGGGCAGTCGGGGCCAGGAGCCCCCTCCCCCAGCCCAGGCTAACCTTAAAAGTCGGGGGGAGGGGCAGCTAGTCACCTTCCTGGTGGACACTAGAGCCCAACATTTAGTTCTCACCGAAACGAACGGGCCATTGAATACCAAAACAGCTTGGGTACAAGGAGCCACCGGAGAAAAACAATACCGATGGACCACGGAGAGAAAAGTTCATCTCGCATCAGGTAAAATCTCACATTCCTTTTTGCATGTACCGGACTGTTCATATCCATTACTGGGTCGAGATCTACTGACTAAATTAAAAGCCCAGATCCATTTTGAAGGACCAGGAGCTAAAGTCTCTGGCCCACAAGGGGCTCCACTTAAAATATTGACTTTACAATTGGAAAATGAATATAGACTTTTTGAAAAGCCTCCTGAACAGCAGGAAGAAATGGACTTATGGTTAAAACAACACCCCCTGGCCTGGGCAGAAACAGGGGGCATGGGCTGGCCATACAACAGCCACCCCTAATAATAACCCTGAACCCAGCCACCTTGTTACCACTGCTGGAGGAACCAGCCTCCCATGACTGTCAGCAGATCCTTGCAGAGATGCATGGAATGTGGCCTGATCAGCCCTTGAAAGATGCAGACTACACCTGGTTCACAGACGGCAGCAGCTACTTGCTAAATGGTGAGAGACGGGCAGGGGCTGCAGTGACGAATGCCTCAGAGGTCATATGGGCCACTGCACTCCCCGGAGGCACCTCTGCTCAGAGAGCTGAACCCTTTGCTCTGACTCAGGCTTTCCAGATGGCAACAGGTAAAAAGCTTAATGTGTACACTGATAGCCAGTATGCCTTTGCCACTGCCCATGTCCATGGAGAAATTTATCGGAGAAGGGGCCTTTTAACATCAGAAGGCAAAGAAATTAAAAATAAAAATAAAATCTTGACATTATTAAAGGCCCTGTTCCTTCCTAAAAAAAAATTGAGCATAATGCATTGCCCTGGACATCAAAAGGGGGAAAGCCTGGAGGCAAAAAGAAATCGCCTGGCTGATGAAGCAGCCAAACAAGCAGCCTTAAGCCCCCAACTATTGACTATTAGCATATTGACTGAAAAGGAAACAGCTAAGACTCCAGATTGGGACTATGATGAAACGGATTTGGACATTGTTCAGAAACTAAGTGCAGATTATGACCCCAATCGGCAATGCTGGGTCTACCAAGGAAAGACTATACTGCCTATAAAAATGGCAAAAATGTTAATAGACCACCTCCATAAGCTGACTCATCTAAGCGCCAAAAATATGAAAACTTTGCTAGATAAACAAGAAATTGAAACTTACCTTCCCAATCGGAATTTATTACTGGAACAAGTAACTGCTAACTGTCTGGCCTGTGCCCAGATAAACCAAGGAAAAACCAAACTGAATTCTGGGACCCGGCTTTGTGGCGATAGGCCTGATGTCCATTGAGAAATAGACTTTACTGAAGTTAAACCTGGAATATATGGTTATAAATATTTACTGGTTTTTATAGACACCTTTTCAGGATGGATGGAAACGTTTCCTACCAAACATGAGACTGCAAAAATGGTCACCAAGAAACTATTAAAAGAAATCTTTCCCAGATATGGGATGCCACAGGTAATAGGATCAGACAATGGGCCTGCCTTCGTCTCCCAGGTAAGTCAGCTGGTGGCCAGGTTGCTGGGGATAAATTGGAAATTACATTGTGCTTACAGACCCCAGAGTTCAGGACAGGTAGAAAGGATAAATAGAACCATTAAGGAGGCTTTATCCAAATTAACGCTTGAAACTGGCTTTAAGGACTGGGTACAACTCCTACTTCTGGCCCTCTATTGGGCCAGAAACACTCCAGGCCCTCATGGCCTAACTCCCTTTGAAATCCTATATGACAGTCCACCACCAGCTGTATCATTCTTTGATGCTGACATTTCTGATTTTGCAAACACCCCTTCCATACAGGTGCATCTATGAGCCTTACAGATAGTCCAAGAAGAGGTCTGGAAACCTCTGGCGGCCGCATCCCTGGAGGAACAAAGAACCTCTTGTCAGCCCCACTCTTTCCAGATTGGCGATTCCATCTGGGTTCGGAGACATCAGACTAAGAACTTAGAGCCCCGCTGGAAGGGCCCCTACACTGTGCTCCTGACAACTCCCACCGCCCTGAAAGTAGACAGGATTGCTGCCTGGATGCATTTTAAATAGACTGGTACTGTTCAAAAATACACACACACACTTGTCAGTTGTTCAGGCCCTAGTTTTGACCCAGCAGTACCAGCAATTAAAACAAATGAAAACTGAAAAACCATGAATAAAGGGTTTTATTCATTTTATAGAAAAAGGGGGGAATGAAAGACCCCCACTATGCTTATTGCCTGTTTAAATTGCTCTTGCTAATTTGCCAAGGTCAAGTTATGAGAAAAGTACAGGGAGGGAACCAGGTGCTGCTCTCATCCAACGCCAACCAGATATCTGTGGTCTGCAGCTTGGACCAAAGCAAGGTCAGCAGGACAGTGTCCAGTATGTTGAGATAGTCATAACTGAATTCTTTGTATTCTTTGTGCCCAACCCGAATAACCAACTGTCCTTGGTTAACTACAACTGCTACATTTAGATGAAACAATGAATTCCCTGTAACCATGCTTCTGCTTCTGTAAGCCTGCTTCTTGCTACACCAACCTTATATAAACTGCATATGCTTTAATCAGGCACGCTCTCTCAGTCTCTCAAAAGACTGGGGCGTCCATAGGTACCTGTGTGTAAATAATAAATAACCTCTTGCACTTGCATCCAGTGGTCCGGTCTCGTCTCTTGGGGGCAAGGGCCTTCCCCCCTGACAGGCTCCAAACTCTTGGGGTCTCTGGGGGTCTTTCACTTACTCTTTAAAAGTATTCCACATTTGTATGTCTCGTTTGTTAGAAAGGTCTCCCTCCCCATCGCCTGCTTTGCTTCTGCTGGAGGAATCGCATGCCCTCCTTTGAAGATGAAATGGCCAGAGTTAATCAGTTTTCATTTCCTAGCCACAGGGAAATATCCCAGGGGTCAAAGGGAACTTGAGAAAAAACACTTCTCCCAAATAACTGGGGAAAATGCTGGTTACTCAAACAGTCCACTTAGGAACGTGCGGGACGAAGTGGCAGGTCGAACATGGTACTATGTGTTCAGGATATGCGCTGAGGCCGGAGTAGGTGGCAAGTTTCAGGGCCCATTTTCAGGTCTGCAAAGGAACCCTCATCCCACACCGGAAAGGGGTGAATGCACTTCTTTCTGCAAAACTAACTCTAGGCCGGGGCAGATAGAGACAGCGGGTGATACACGATTTGTTCAGGGTCTGGTGTTTTACCTTCGCATTTCTGCTCCACAAAGTCCAAGATGGGGATGGACCAATCCGGGCCCCGCAGGAACCCAGCGATGCTCTCCACCACCCACTCCACCTCGTCCTCTTCTTCCGCAGCCATCCCGCTCGCACCGGGCGACACGGATATCTAGGTCAGACTCTCCCGGCCGCTCGGGCCTTTCGGCCGCAAGAAGCCGACGGAGAATGCGGGCAGCGCGGCCCCGGCAGTCGCCAGGCCCCTGGCTAGACACTACAAACCGGTTAACGTAAAATGGTCGCTATGACAACATACGCAGCGGCCCGGAAGTGAAGCCGGAGTCCCCGCCCTGCGAGCCTGAAGGGGGCGGGGCTATGAACGTTTCCTATTGGCTGGGAGAGAACGGTAACGTCGCAAACGACAGCCCTCCGTTCATTGGCCCGCGATTGCTGGGTTGAGCGCAGGAGGGCAGGCATTAGCCACAGAGCCTGGAAACGACGTTCGTGCTTCGAAGCGCCGCGCCCCTGCTCAAAATGGCGCGGGAGGACGTGGCTCCCTCGGACTGCGTCATCTCGTCTCCTCCGATCTCAAACCGAAGGGTTTGCAGACCCTCTCTGGTCCAGACACATAAGTAACTGAAAGATACTTTGACGTTACAAAGCTGAACAAAGCTCCGTGAGGTTTACTGATACGTTCTGCAGTCCTTTTACTTGGTGTAGTTCTCAGTATGGGTCTTTAACCACTCATCTTAGGTAGCGATAGCTAAATTTATGACAAGGACACAACCAAAGTTAACCTTCGTTTAAATGGGAGTTTGTGACTAGTTTTTAATGAGTCGTGAGCTTTCGCTCCGTTCATACTTCAGGGTCAGAGGACTTCCAATCACACAAAAATCTTATAACTAGATGTGGTGGCCTATGCCTACACCTTTAAAAGCAAAGGCAGGTGAATTTCTGTGGTTTCCAGGCCAGTCAAGGCTAACCTGTCAAATAAATAAATAAATAAATAAATAATATTGACATCAAGTTCACAGTTAAAATCCTGGCTACCGACACTTACCAAGAGCCCTCCCCACTTTGAGGTCTAGAGAAGGACAGTTCCAGTCTACTAGACTAGTCTGCCCTCTGCATAGACTGGTTTAGGTCTCCTACATCCCTCTGAGACAGGTGGTAGAGCCGAGGGAGCAGAGAATACAATCTCAGTTGTGGAGGGAGTGGAGGAATAGTTAGAACCAGAGGTATGACTGTGTGGTTGGCCAAACAGCAGAGGTCCAGTCAAGCCGGGGGCAAGAGCTCCTTGCTAGAGGACCCAGGAGAAACCAAGTAGGTATTAGAGACAGCCAGAGATCCCTGATGATCAATCTCAATAGAAACAAAGATGTTGATACAGAGAGGACCCAGCGTTAAGTTAGCAAGTGGTGTGTTAATCAGTTCATCCTTTTATCTGTCCAATAATTCAGTTATATCCGAGTAGAGGTGGCACAAGCCTTTAGTACCAACACTCAGGATACAGACGCAAGTGGATCTCTCTGAGTTCGAAGCCAGCCTGGTTTACAAAGCTACTATCAGGACTGCTAGGGCTGTTACACAGAGAAACCCTATCTCAACACCCCCCCAAAAAAAAATTCAGTTATAGACCAGGAGGTCTATTTATCCACAATGCCTTATACTCAGGGTCGAAGGAAAGAACAAACACAAGGTCTAAGTCAAACTCACAGTGTCTCGAGGACAAATCCAGCAGTCCCTCTGAGTCACATTCAGACATGCCCAAGTTTGTGCAGATATGTCCAAAAGTGATTAGACTAACTCTCAGCTCACTTAGCCAATTATGTAGCTGTCCCTGCTGTGTTTAAAAGGAGCTTGCATGCCCATCTTTGGATCACCATTTTGTATAGGTGTTGATGCCTTTATGCTGGAATATTAAACGTTCTTTGTTCTTGCATACTATTTGAATCTGGGATCTCTCTTCAGAATTTCCTTTGACCTTACACAACAGCAACATGGCAAGGACTCCTGAGAATCTCCTACTCTGGTGTTGTGAATGAGAATGTCTGCCATAAAGTCAAATGTTTGAATACTTGGTCTGCAACTCATGGCATGGTTTGGGAGGATTAGGAGGTATGGCTTTGTGGGTGGAAGTATGTCCCCAGAGGTGGACTTTGAGAGTTTAAAGAGACATTTTGAGTCAACTGTCTCTGTGTTCTGCTTGCAGTCCAAGATGTGAGCACCCAGTCTCTGCTTCAGGTGCCATATGTGCTGCTTGCTGTCATGCTTCCCTGGCATGACAGACTCTTACCCTTCTGGAGATAGCTGTAAGACAAACCTTCCTGTATGTTGCGTTGATCTTAACAATCAGAAAGTAGCTGGTACAGATTATGGTCACTTTCTGACAGGAGGTCCACATCATGTAAGAACCAACAGTCCCACTCTTCCTCACACAAGGCACCTCAACATTCTGTGGCTTTGCCTTGTTAAATGTCCCACCTCTAGCCTGATGGGTGTCATGATTGCTCAGTGAGAACTGATGGTGCAGCTGGAGGTACAGGGGTCAAACAGCAGGCACAGGCAATGTTCCTGTCTAGAATGTAGCAGCAGTAATGGCAGTGGGCTTCACACCTGCCCTCTGGACCCACAATCTATGCTAGTAATGCCACTGGGTTCAATGCTACAGACATGTGGCTTACTAAGAAAAGAGATTATTCTGGACATGCCATAACTTTCCAGCAGCCTCTGCAACATCCTAAATTAAAGTCTAAGGCTGGAGAGGGCTCTGAGTTCAAGGTAACCTCCTTTCAGGTCATGGATATGTTTAGGGTAGAGAAGTAAGTGATAAATGATAAAACTGGAAATGCACGGGAGAGAAAGATTCCATCCAGCATATCAACAGTGAGTCTAGAGATCAGCCAGAATAGACATGCTCAAAGCATCACCCGCCTAGTCTGCTCCTGTCGTTGACTCTGCCTGACCATCTTCAAGGTACCTGAAGCTCCAGAGTATCCCTGAGCAAAGTTATCTATACTCACATAAATGAGTCACTATATGCATAGTTATGGATTTTTTTTCTCTTAATTTATCCCTTATGTTTGCTGTGGTTTTGTCTTTACGGAAATGTCTCAAGTGGTATAAACTGGTCTTGGATTCTGGATCCTTCTGCTTCTACTGTAAAGAGCCACCGGTGCCATTCCCAAAGATGGCACAGGTTTCCTGTCCACAAGCCAGCAAGGCGCAGATGCGCGATCCACGTCATGGGGTGACAGTTACAAGTGTTGTGGGCTGCAACTGTCAGTAACGGACACGGCTCCTCTGAGCATATATAAGCAGAGCCCTTTTTCCTCCTCGGGGTCTTCCCTCAACTTGCTGTAATGAGCCGCGCAATAAACATAGCTGCAAAAGAATCCTGTTGTTGAGCGTCGTTCTTGCAGGAAAGGCGATAGCGCTCGACACTCTACCTCCTAAATGATGGGATTGTAAGTGTATGCCACCACACTTGGCTCTTTTTTTTGTAAAATATAAAAGTGAATAGTATTCTAATAAACGAACCTTTGTTTTGTGTATTACACAATAGCTGACCATTAATGTGTAGATTTTATTTTTCTCATTTTATAATTTGTGTGTACCATAAATTATTTAATCAATTTTTGCCTGAAATCAACACCTTTGTGTCTGTAAGAAGAGTTGGTTTTATTTACAATGCTAAGTGATTGAGAAGAATTGAATAAAAATAAAAGGATATGGATGACTGATTGATGGATGGATGGATGGATAGATTAGATTACATTAACTTAATTAACTCTCATGCTAAATTAAGCTATGAATGAATCTCATTGCAAATATGAAATTTGTTACATGAGGTTTTTGTTTTGAGGTTTGTTTTGCTCTACTTTGATGTTTTAAGGTCTTACATTTTATCTGATCCCTTGTATGAGAATTTAAAATAAGCTCCCTCCTCTCCTAAAGAACATCAGCTCGGATGTTGCTGTTGCATGCCTTTAATCTAAGTACTTGGGAGGCAGAAGCAGGTGGATCTCTATGAGTTTGAGACCAGCCTGGTCTACAAGAGCTAGTTCCAGGACAGCCCCCAAAGCCACAGAGAAACCCTGTCTCAAAAAACAAAACAAAACAAAACAAAACAAAACAATAACAAAAGAACATGAGCAAACTTCTCATTTATTGAATATCATCTCTTCCTGTATGTGAGTTCCTGACCTCAAAATATATAAAATACAAGCGGTTGATCAACACTTTGAAAGTGTTGGAAGACACGCCACTTCTCTACACACTGGGAGCTATGTATCAGGACCTTAGAGTTTTGACTCCAGTGTCTGTCAACAAACCCCTGCAGCATGAGGGAACTTCTTGGGTTGTCATTGAAAGGGGTAAACTAATAAAGGGACCAGACCCTCACTCAGCCCCCTGTTTTAGCAGCCATGACAGGCTACAGAAAGGACACGTAGGCCTCTGACTCAGCACATGACACAAAGAAACTTCAGATCCCCTGGACTCCCAGAGCCTAGGACCAAAACTGAACACAAAGAAACTCCAGACCCACTAGCCTCCTAGTTCCTGGAAAATGTTTGGCCCCAAAAGAAACTCCAGGGGAGACCAAAACCTCCCTTGTATTCTCCAGGATACAGTTCTGAAAACTATTAGTATCTATGTACAACAGGCTACCTGCAAGTAACAAGACAAAGCCATAGAAACAAAAGGATGTTCCCTCTCAGCATTGACCAATGAGAATAATTGGTACACAGGTATTTCATGCCAAATTATGACTTTGAGAAATTCCCCTGATTGTTCCCCAGATGTCAACCAATCAGAAACCAACCTGTACCTACTGATGTAATCCTGTGATTTTTGCCTTTCAAAACCTGGCTGTAGACAGTGAACTCGTTTCCTCTTGTGGCTGATGTGTCAGCCAGCTAGACAAGGTCCCTATCATGGTTGGATGAACAATAAACCTTACACATTTGTATCGGTGGGTCTGTGTCTCCCTGGTGCTCTTTGAGGATCTTCAGGACTTGGGCACAACAGTCACATTGCTTCTGTCTTTAGTCATCTTACTAGAAGTAGCAAGAACAGGAGATACACTGAATGCTTGCTCCTGTTGCAGTCTGAATAGTTCTTTTGGAAGACCTCTGTTGGGGTGAAGCAAGGATTCTTCACTGCCAAAAAGAATTTCAGGACAAGTGAGTGTGAAGTAAAATTAGTTTATTAAAACTGTGAGTTGCATATACCTAGTCAAGCACTCT